AGCATGGGGGTGAGTAGAAAATGAAGGCTAATTATGTTTTGGGTGTACTATTCCTTTAATATATCTGTATCTGTAAGGGTGTGATTCTTTTTTTTTCTTCAAAGCATTAACAGGAGAGTGGTGTGTAAATATGGCTGTAGGTCCAAAGATAGGTAGTTCAGAAGCTCCAATACATTCAAAACAGCGCAGCCAGGATTCTCTTGAGGGCCCGCAAATTTGCCCATATTACACCTATTCTGCATGACCTTCACTGGCTTCCCATCACCTGCAGAATTCAATACAAAATTGCGCTCATCACCCATCAGTGTTTAAACGGATCCTCACCGGATTATCTGAAGGACCTTCTCACTCCACATTCATCCACCAGATCTCTTCGATCACAAGACTGCAACTTCCTTCACCTTCCTCGCTCCAGATTAAGGTCCATGGGAGATCGGGCCTTCGCTGTCGTTGCCCCCCGTCTCTGGAACTCTCTCCCAGATCATCTGAGAGCTCCACAACCACTGAATGATTTTAAAAGAGGCTTGAAGACTTTTTTATTTAAGCAAGCCTATTCTGCCTCCACATGATTTTTATGTTGCTTATTTTTATCTTTGATTTTATTGACCACATGATTTTTATGGTTGATTTTTGATCTTTGATTTTATTTGCACTGTATAGCACTTTGAGATTTTTCTTAATGAAAAGTGCGGTACAAATTGGATTTATTATTATTATTATAGTTTGTAACGTGTATTGGACGGCATTGTTGTAGCGGCACAGCTCAAACTACTTTTTTTCTTAAATAGTTCCTAGATGTAATAGAGCGTATAAATGCTTCTTGTTTTTAAAGATTGCCTCAAGTAAAATCTTTTTCTCTTATAATAGGGGAAAAATGTGGCCAAAATTGAATACTTTCTAAGTATGGGTCAATCATTATCCCAAAGATTTTATTTTTAAAAGAATCTATCTTATTTATGAAGAATCCCATAGAATTGGGGGAATAGATGGTTCAAGAAAGCCATGCCTCTGTGCGAGTTTGGCAACTGTAATAAAAATAAATCAATTCTTATTCTGATGGTTGGTGCCACAAACATTGTTGGTGCCACAAAATAGCAGATAGCTGGTCTTCCTGGAACTGCATACTGTCCCTAAATCTTTCCCTGGTAGCTTACTTTCACCCTTGGTGGTCAGAGGCCCCAGCAATGAATAATTTACCTTTATTAATAAAGAGAAATACAGTGTTTTTGTCATTTTGTTCAGCAGTAGACCGGTTTTGCAAATTAAGCAGGTAAGTTCCTCTAGATGTGTAGAGTGCAGTACTGTCTCCGACTTTCGGACCGATAAGCTACAAGAGAGGTTCATTAAACCACGACTCTGTTTCCTGGTCTGCACCTTGGTAAAATCAGGTCAGATTGAACAGAAAGAAGAGTTGCTCCATTCAATGTTGGATGGATGTTATCTCTATGAGTTTATGTTTTACTCCAAAAGGCTGCCAACATACACAAAATGGTTTCAGAAAACCACCTGGCAGACTGACAAAATGCGGTTTAACATGTTTTGACTGGCCAGATCAGGAAGGAGAATAAAGTAAATTGCAAATCTTGAGATAGTTTTAGAAACACACGGAAGAAACACAAATTTCAGTGATCTAAGATCAGCATTACCGGGTGTTTTTACCGTCAGCATGAATGACACTCCAACTACATTTATCCTTATCTTTAGCCAGCATCATCTGCAGGCTCTTAAGCTCAGCATGAGATTCCAAGTGCTGACAACAAAATCTATATTTTAAATTATAAATAAAAACATTAATTTCATAAGATTTTATAATTTAATTAAAGTTTATGATAAATATATTAAGAGATTATGTGCCTTAAATCTTATTTATTTTATACCACCAATTTCTTTTATGAACCGATATGGAGTAAAATACAGTTTGGTATTAGGGATACCTTTTTTTTTTTGCAAATACACTTAATGTTTTATTCAATTAAGATTATTTATCCATCCGTTTTCTCACGCTTAGTATTTGTCAAGGTTGCGGTGAGGTGGGGTACACCCTGGACAGATCGCCAGTCTGTCGCAGGGCAACAGAGAAACACACACCCACACTTAAGGAAAATTTAGAGAAGCAAATCAACCTAACAGTCATGCTTTTGGACTATGGGAGGAAGCTGCAGTACCCGGAGAGAACCCATGCATGCTCAGGGAGAACATGCAAACTTCATGCAGAAAGACTGCAGGCCCGGAATGCAACCCAGAACAATGTTGCTGCAAGGCAACGGTGCTACCCATGTTTCTTCTCAAGCCGCTTTACAAAGACAATGCGTTTGTTAAATCTAGGGAATAATGTAACTGCTCTGTAACAGTGGTTTTCAAAGTGGCTCCTGAGGTCCTAATGTCCTGCATGTTTAGATGTCTCCCTGCGTTGATAAACAGGTGATGAACAGGCCTCTGCAGCCCTTGGTGGCTACTGGAAGAATGAAATAATCAGCTTGAGCTGAAACAATTAAAACACACAAACACTCAAATTAATTCCATGATTATCGCACTAAATTGTCTATACCCACCTTTTTCAATTTTTAATTGATCAGTTATAGCTGATTTAATCTATTGTAAATAACAAAACGTATATATTTCATTAGCTTTTATTTTTAACCATCTTGTACGTTCACCAAAGCTGTTTCATTATACTAGAATATCAACTTTAAATGATGAATTATTAAACTTTCTTCCAGTGTAATACACTAATTTAATACAGGTATTGGCTGGAAAAATATTCTGTAACATTATGACCACTTTTATTAACAATAGCATCTCCATCTGCAGCAGCACTGAGCAGCATTTAAATCTCCTTTTATAGTCAGTCACTGTACTGTACCTTCCTTCAGCCTAGCAGCACCTGTGCTCTTTCTCCTCCATCAAGTCTGTATATTCTGTGTTATGGTTTAACCTGCAGTGTTTTATGAGGTATTTGTGGCAACAATTTCACTGTTTTTTTCACATATATCACAGTTTGGTCTTGATTCCTTGTGGGGTTTTAAATAACTCATCATAGACTTCTTTTATAACCTTATACAATTTGTTCTGCAGTGCATCACACTGTGCTTGGCATTACATGCTCACGTACTACACAATAGTTTCCATTGAATGTGAGCATTTTTAGGCATTTTTTTTTTTTTTTTGGTTGATATGCATTATCCTAAAATAACTGTAGCATTTTCTATTTTAGAGCCTATCATTCTGGTATCAAGGTATGAGTTTTGATCCATGCACTTGTTTAGGTGTGAGAAATCAAAAGTGTGGTGTGTTTGTGCACTTGATGAAATGTCTCAAACCATAAATACTTTGAGAGTTGAAAGCCCTGAGTATCAGGGACAACAGACGCTTTAATCTTTTTGATTTACAGCTCAAAATGAAAGACAAATTCCTGAACCTTCTAACTTCACTGCTCCTTATAAGCTCAATTCAAGTCAGTGAAACTTCTAGCCTGAACGGTTTACAATAAATTCAACGCTTGAAGGTAAATGGCATGCACTTTTATCACTTCCTCAAGTCCAAAGATTCCAAAGCAAGCTACAATATATTTAGTCATACCCCCATTCACATAGAATCAGGGCATGGAGTTGAGGCAACGTTACATAACCAAATCCAAAGTGTAATGTTTTAGAACATACCTGTGTTTAAACACTGAAAGTCAATACCTAAAAAACATCTTCTGCACACTCAAATTATTGTTGACAGATGTTTTCTAAATATTGCAACTAAACTTGAGCTGTTCTGCAAAGAATGAGCTCAACCTTCAGTGTGCAGATACACAAAGCTGTTGGAGGAAAACACCACCAGAGTGACGTTAATATTAAAAAGAAGTGCTATTTTCCCTTAACTCCATGTCTTGTCTCAATTTTTTTTTCCAAATTCTTTATCCTAATAAAATGCTTTAAAATTGAATATATGCGAATTATTCTGCAAGTCATTGCAAAAGGAATTTCTATAGGGAGAAATTAACTAAAAAAATCAATTTGCACTTTACATTTCGGCCCGTTTTAATCCACAGTGCAAAAATGGTAATAAAAGAAAGAGGAGGTTCAAAGCCATGGAGATGGAGGTAATAATGATATTTTAAATATATATTTATTGTGCACCTTGTTGTGAATCTCAAAGTGTGAAAAACAAAGGTAAAAGAAAGTAAATATTTTGTGTTCTAATCCCCTCCCCCATTAATTTGTGGAGCTTAGTCGTCGGAATATGAGCATTTGTGAATAAAAGCTTTGCACACATTGTCTGCTGCTAGCATAATTCAAATCACTTTGTACCTTTGAAGATCTGTTTATCGTGTACGAACATGTTTGCACCCGACAAACAAACATTAAGGTCAGAAAAAAAAAAAATCAGCTTTGGATCTCTCAAGCTCAAGACCAAATGTGAGGTTAAACTTATTTTTTCCTGAAAATAACTGAAAATGAAGAAAACTATAAATATTTATATCTATATATATATTTCTCTCCACTTCAGTAATAAACTGCTTGTTGGTTTAATCACATAGAAACCCTTTAAGATTATGTGACAAAACTTAAGGAACATGTAAAAATAGGGCAAAAGAATCTGGAGTGTTTCTCACTTTACAGATATAAACCTTTGGGTTTTGGCCGTTTTTAAGATGCATCATTGTTTTGTGATTTCTGTCATAAGCACCTGTTCTTTTATTCTTTGCTTGAAACAACATTAAACTTATTTTCTTAAATGTTTTAATTAAATCTGGTATTTACCATTCATTAAAACTCCCTTCATGTGACTGAGATCATTATCAGATGCAGTAAAACAACAGAGATAAGATATTTTGATAGGCTCATTTTTTTAAGTGATGACACACAGGGGAAGAATTCAATTCTTTCACAGGAACCACAAGCACCTGAGTTCCAGCTCTGTCAGTTTATATTTAGCAGCTTGGATCATAAAAGACTTAACTGCATGAAGATCAAGTAAACATATTATAAATACTTCCATGAACTCGCATATTCCCGTAAGCTGAGCATTTATTTTAGTAATGGCTGAAAAGCAGACAAGGAACTTTTATTTGGGGATATCCAGCATCTCAAGAAAACAATTTACTGCAAAAAAAAATTAGATGAAATGTCATTTTAGCGATATATTGACTGAACACAGCAGTAAAAGCAACATCTCGTATTTTAGTGGAATGTGATTTTTTTTTAACATTCAGTATCACTGTTCAGTCGGGCATCGTTCTCTGCTCCACGTCTGAGGAGCTGCTCAGTGGTTCATGCAGCAGTTACAGTAAGATGGTTGTTTTTACAGGAGTTGGAAGTGAGTTTTTGGAATAATTTACTGCAGAGCTTATCCTGATGAAAGCTGTGATCCCTTAATTTCTTTCCAGTTCTCATCTCTTCTTAAAAAACAAAAAAACAAAAGACCCTTGCGGTAAAAAAATAAGATAGCAAAACATGGAGACAAAAACTAAATAAGGAAATACCTGGCAATAGCAAAGAAATCACTGACATTCTGTGTAAAACCATTATTCTCCCTGTCCGGGTCTCAGTTTCTCCTACTCATCTTGTGCTGTAAAAGTTTCTGTCCAATCCAGACCGGCGCTTCACTCGTATTCTGCGATCAGCACCATCATGCCGACTCCGAACAGGAGCGCCAGAATCTCCATCAGAGACTGGCCGAAACTGGAGCGGCCCACAAGCAGCTCAGGGAGCACCGTCACTGTGGCGATGTAAACAAACCCACCGGCCGTGAAGGGCAGGATCCAGGCGGTCGCCGTGGCGCCCACGCCTTCAGCCAGCAGGGAGCAGGCTGTCCCGGCCAGAGCTCCCAAAGCGGTCAGCAGCTGCAGACACATGGCCTGATGCACAAAGGGGAGCAACAGAAAATCGATCATTGCTTCCTACACTTCATTTAAATTTTTCTCATCTTCAGTTGTTATTATAACTATTATAAACCTATCAATCAATAGGCAAATGAAAAATGGTGATTTTTAGGGGGATTTTTATTCATCTGGGAATTTTACCATTTCCTTCCAGGTTGGTTCTGATTCATTCTAATCTAGTTTTATATAATGTTCATAAACAAACCCTGTTCACATCTATCTACTCACTCACTGGGTATCAGTTTTGTCTGTTTGATGAACATCCTAATGAATGTCAATGATAAATATTCAAATGGTAACAAAACTAATTATACTTCATGTTCAGAATATTTTAAACAATTTCCACTGATTGACATTTTTGTTTCTCCAGGCTAAACTCCAGTTCTTTTTAAGAAATAGTCACTTTATTTATGAGTTAACTTTATTCATGTTTAGAAATTCAGTTTGGAGGAAAAATATTGAATTTAAATTCTGTGTAAAAACTTATATGTCTGGATAAGTTTTGTACATAAAGGACCAAAGCGTCAGCTACAGATTGGAAATAAGCTTTATTTGTAATATACCAGGAGCAAAAGGATATATTTTAATAATTAATGCCTCATGTATGTAGACCGAAAGACCCCCTCCTTGAACCGCCACCTTAACGTGGTGGAGGGGTTTCAGTGCCTGGGTGATCCCAGAGGCTATGTTGCCGGGGGCTAAATGCCCCTGGAAGGGTCTCCCAAGGCAAACAGGCTCTGGGTGACAGGTCAGACGAAGAGCGATTCAAAAACCCTTCAAAAACCCTTATGACGAGGACTCAAACGAGGCACGTGACGTCGCCCGGTACGGCGGAGCCGGGACCCCACCCTGGAGCCAGGCCTGGGGTTGGGGTTCGTCGGCGAGCGCCTGGTGGTCGGGTTCTTCCTCGCGGGACCCGGCCGGGCCCAGCCCGAAGGAGCGACGCGAGGCCATCCCCCAGTGGGCCCACCACCTGCAGGGGGAACCATGAGGGACCGGTGCAAAGAGGATTGGGCAGCAGCCAGAGGCGGAGACCTCGGCGACCTGATCCGCGGGCGCTTAAACTGGCTCTGGGGACGTGGAATGTCACCTCACTGGCGGGGAAGGAGCCTGAGCTTGTGCGGGAGGTGGAGCGATACCAGCTAGAAATAGTTGGGCTCTCCTCTACGCACAGCCAGGGCTCTGGAACCCAGCTCCTTGAGAGAGGCTGGACTCTCTTCTACTCTGGAGTTACCCGCGAGGAGAGGCGGAGGGCGGGGGTGGGGCTGCTTGTCTCCCCCCAGCTCAGCCGTCTCGTGTTGGAGTTCACCCCGGTAGACGAGAGGGTCGCCTCCCTTCGCCTTCGGGTTGAAGGGAGGACTCTGACAGTTGTTTCGGCCTATGGGCCGAACGGCAGTACGGAGTACCAGGCCTTCTTAGCATCCCTGGGGAGGGTGTTAGAAAGCTCCCCTCCCGGGGATTCCATCATTCTGCTGGGAGACTTCAACGCCCACGTGGGAAACGACAGTGACACCTGGAGGGGCGTGATCGGGAGCAACGGGCCCCCAGCTCTGAACCCGAGTGGTGTCTCATTATTGGACTTCTGTGCAAGTCACGGATTGTCCATAATGAACACCATGTTCAGGCATAAGGATGTCCATCGGTGCACTTGGCACCAGGACACCCTAGGCAGAAGGTCGATGATCGACTTTGTAGTCGTATCTTCTGATCTTCGGCCGCATGTCTTGGACACTCGGGTGAAGAGAGGGGCGGAGCTGTCCACCGACCACCACCTGGTGGTGAGTTGGATACGCTGGAAGAGGAGGAAGCCTGAAAGACTCGGCAGGCCCAAACGTGTAGTGAGGGTCTGCTGGGAACGTCTGGTGGAGCCCTCGGTCAGAGACGTGTTCAACTCCCACCTCCGGGAGAGCTTCTCTCAGGTTCCGAGGGAGGTTGGAGACATGGAGTCCGAATGGGCTGTGTTCTCTGCCTCTATTGTCGATGCGGCTGCCCGTAGCTGTGGCCGTAAGGTTTGCGGTGCCTGTCGTGGTGGCAATCCCCGAACCCGGTGGTGGACACCGATAGTAAGGGATGCCGTCAAGCTGAAGAAGGAGTCCTATCAAGCCTGGCTGGCTTGTGGGACTCCTGAAGCAGCAAGCAGGTACCGTGAGGCCAAGCGTGTCGCGGCCCGGGTGGTTGCAGAGGCAAAATCTCGGGCCTGGGAGGAGTTCGGAGAGGCCATGGAAAAAGACTATCGGTTGGCCTCAAAGCAATTCTGGCAAACCGTCCGGCGCCTCCGGAGGGGAAAGCAGTGCTTCACTAACACTGTTTTTAGTGGGTGTGGGGAGCTGCTGACCTTGAAGGAGGATATTGTCGGGCGGTGGAAGGAATACTTTGAGGATCTCCTCAACCCGACAGACATGCCTTCCGTGGGGGAAGAAGAGGCGAGGTGCTTGGGGCTGGGTTCGTCCATCACCCGGGCTGAAGTCACCGAGGTAGTCAAAAAACTCCATGGTGGCAAGGCTTCGGGGGTGGACGAGATCCGTCCTGAGTATCTCAGAGCTCTGGATGTTGTCGGGCTGTCATGGTTGACACGTCTCTTCAACATCGCGTAGAGGTCGGGGACAGTTCCCCTGGATTGGCAGACTGGGGTGGTGGTTCCCCTCCACAAGAAGGGGGACCGGAGGGTGTGTTCCAACTATCGGGGAATCACACTTCTCAGCCTCCCCGGAAAGGCCTATGCCAGGGTGCTGGAGAGGAGAGTCCGGCTGATTGTCGAACCTCGGCTGCAGGAGGAGCAGTGTGGTTTTCGTCCTGTTCGTGGAACGGTGGACCAGCTCTACACCCTCTGCAGGGTGCTTGAGGGTTCATGGGAGTTTGCCCAACCAGTCCACGTGTTTTGTGGACTTGGAGAAGGCATTCGACCGTGTCCCTCGTGCTGCCCTGTGGGGGGTGCTCCAGGAGTATGGAGTCGGGGGCCCTTTATTAGGGGCCATCCGTTCCCTGTACAAGCGGAGCAGGAGTCTGGTTCGCATTGCCGGCATTAAGTCGGACCTGTTCCCGGTGCATGTTGGACTCCGACAGGGCTGCCCTCTGTCACCGGTCCTGTTCATAACTTTTATGGACAGGATTTCTAGGTGCAGCCAAGGACCGGAGGGGGTCTGGTTTGGGGAACAGCGGATCTCGTCCCTGCTTTTTGCGGATGACGTAGTTCTGCTGGCTCCCTCCTGCCAAGACCTACAGCGTGCGCTGGGGAGGTTCGCAGCCGAGTGTGAAGCTGCTGGGATGAGAATCAGCTCCTCCAAATCCGAGGCCATGGTTCTCGACCGGAAAAAGGTGGCATGTCCCCTTCGGGTTGGAGGGGAGTCCTTGCCTCAAGTGGAGGAGTTCAAGTATCTTGGGGTCCTGTTCACGAGTGAGGGAAGAATGGAGCGGGAGATCGATAGACGGATCGGTGCGGCTGTTGCAATAATGCGGACGCTGCACCGGTCTGTCCTGGTGAAGAGAGAGCTGAGCGAAAAGGCAAAGCTCTCAATTTACCGGTCGGTCTACGTTCCTACCCTCACCTATGGTCATGAAATTTGGATCATGACCGAAAGAACGAGATCCCGGATACAAGCGGCTGAAATGAGCTTTCTCCGCAGGGTGGCTGGGCTCTCCCTTAGAGATAGGGTGAGGAGCTCGGTCATTCGGGAGAGGCTCAGTGTAGAGCCGGTTCTCCTCCACATCGAGAGGAGTCAGTTGAGGTGGCTCGGACATCTTCTTCGGATGCCCCCTGGACGCCTCCCTCGGGAGGTGTTCCAGGCATGTCCCACCGGGAGGAGGCCCAGGGGACGGCCCAGGACACGCTGGAGAGACTATGTCTCTCGGCTGGCCTGGGAGCGCCTAGGGCTTCCCCCAACAGAGCTGGAGGAGGTGTCTGCGGAGAGGGAAGTCTGGGAGTCTCTGCTTATTCTGCTGCCCCCGCGACCCGGTTCCGGATAAAGCGGGAGACTACGAGTACGAGTATGTAGACCAAAAGACCTAAGTTGGGGTGTTGAAAAGACAATTGCTGAATGTAATGTTTAAGTTCAGGTGTTTTGCAGCTACTTTTGTGTTTACAATAAATTTATTATAATAAGTAACAGCTACAAATAAAGGAAAAACAGTAATGTTTTAGAACTTAAAATAAAAAAACTAATACCCGGATTGTTTGACAGCAGAGCTAAAAGAGTAAGTTAGGTTTATAAAGAAGTTTTAAAGTCATTCCAAAACGTAAATGTTTGAAGCTTCGCCGTTTAGCTCATCATCCAGTTCTTAAAATCCTGAGAAAAGGGGGTAACCCTGATGTGGGAGGAGGTCACTGTGGTTTTATGAACCTTTTATTCAAAGGAAAAAGTCAGATGTAAAGTGTTACTACCTTCTTTTTAGTGCAGCCAGACTGAACCAGGATGGCAAAATCCCCGATCTCATGTGGGACCTCATGAAGCAGGATAGTCAGGGTGGTGACAGCACCCACAGCTGGACTGACCAGGAACGACGCTCCGATTGCCAGACCATCAGTGAAATTGTGCGTGAAGTCAGCTGCTAGGTTCAGATAGGCTGACACCTTGATTTCTGTTTCAGTGGAGAAAAAGAAACGGTTATGATGGAGATGAAAAGAATTGTCATAAGTTTCTACAAAGTTCTTGGCATTTCTGAAGCTTTTATTTTGTTTATATCGATTTCAAATTATATTGAATCAACTGATGTTAAGAAATATAATCTGATCTAAATTTTGGAAAGCCTTACCACAACACTAACATGACCAGGAAGTTTGCAGACGAAACCACTGTGGAGGGTCTTATAGTAAAGAAGGCGGCACAGACAGGAGGCCCACCATCTGACACAGTGGTTCTATGGAAACAATCTCATCCTAAACACCAGTACGGCCAAGAAAGTCATAGTGACTACAGGATGTCCATGAGGGCCGTACACTCTCCTCTCTGCATACAGGAGGGTGTGGTGGAGCAGGTGGACACCATTCGGTTCCTGGGTATGATGATTTTCTCCCGCTTGGTGAAGAAGGCCCAACGGTTGCTCTTCTTTCTCAGGGATCTAAACTCTCTACATAGCTTTTAACAAACTTCTAAAAACCACGATGGAAAGCTTCTTTGTGACCGTGGTATAAGAGCTGCACAGCACAGGAGAGGAAGGACTTAGAACAGGTGATTGTGGGATGCCGTCTGCCAAATGTGGACTGGATTTATGCCACAAGGAGCCCAAAAAAAGGGTGAGAAGCATTGCTACAGATCAGGCCCGCCCAGGCTTGGAGCAGTTTGTCTCACTTCCATCAGTAAATAACTCAGGAACATTAAATCCAGAACAAAGAGTCTTTAAATGTGTTTTTACTAGAGCTGGGAGAGCAATGGACCTTGTGTAGATGGTAAATAAAACATTTATGACAACATCTGTTTATCGGCTGCTTTAGCATAACCTGCATCTTATATAACTAGATCCCCTATTTATAGATTTCCTTCTTCTCTTTAGAGATGTTATAAGTGCTCCACTTCCTTCCTAATATGCCTTATCACTTTGTGTCTGTGTCTTATCTCTTAAACTTGTTCTATTTATGGGCCTCTTGACTGACCAAATTACATCATGGTTGCATGAGGACAACAATGCCTTTTCTTATTAAACCCTACAGCCCCATTAAAACTACAGTTTTTAGTTTTCAGTGACATCTACTGGTCAGACTGCAGTGACATGCCCCCCCACGTTGATTATTATGAAGGTAAATATGTGCCAAAATGAACGAACTTGTGAATTTAATGTGAAAACTTGAGAATGCAATGTGAGAATTTGTACCACAAAAATCTGAACTTGTATGCCAAAATGTTCTGCTGTAAAGAAAAACCGCACACACACAAACTGAATTTGAAGTTGCACTAAAAGACATATGAGGCAAGAACATGTAAAAAAAAATTACACTTGTCAGTCCAATCTTCACCTGAAGAGGATTTTCACTCAAATCTGATTTAAATGTGAATGCACAAAAAAACTATTTACTGGTGTGTTCATATAGTTTTACACAAATAAAATTACAGCTGACAAATGATTATTGATAGTTTATTTGTAATTATAATTTTTTTGCATATGTTAATCTTGCATTACAACCTCAATTTAGCCATTACAGCTTCTTGAATCTGCTGCTTCAAGAACACAAACGCGCTCTCGCGAGACACAGCACGTTGACACCGCGCTTTGACTTTTGTCACATTCCTTGCGAGATATTTGTGCCAAAACGAACTTGTGTTTGAAGATGTGAGAGCAAATGTGGGGGGGGGGGGGGGGGGGGGGGGGGGGGGGGTTCTATAGGCCAACCAATCACAGGCTGCGTCTCAATTCGCAGGCTGCGTACTTGGGAGGACGCCTTTGGAGCACTTCCTGGCTTCTTTTTTTTTTTTTTTTTTTTTTTTTTTTAGTAGTTGAAGAAAAAGAAGAAGAAAGTCGGATTTTCTTGAAGTTACGGACAACCGAAAGCAGTAGCAGCGCTGGCAGTAGAGCGGAGAACACCTTTAAATGTAAGTAGTTTGTTTTTGCTTTTTTTAAATGAACATCTATTAAAATACATGACGGTAACGGAGCCACCGGGATGTGTAGGACCAGCTAAAGCTAAAGCTTAAAGCTAACCTGTTGATACGTGATGTTCATCAACAATTAAAAGCCTTCATACAAATGTCACTATTTTTTATTTTAACCTACATCTTACTGTACTGATAGCCGTATCCCTCTCTAATCAGATCTATTTATTCTCAAACAGTTTATTACAAAGTATTAGAACTTTTAAAGCTTAATGCAGCTGAAGAAATAACATTAGTCCAGCTGTACTGGGCTGTTAATACTGTAAACGTTCTGTTTTAATACTGAATAATGTATAGTTAATTTACAGTACAGTATAATAAGGTTTAAAGTATAGTTCACTTGAAGAACAATACCAGTGTAATTATACAGAACAGTCATTTTGCCTGTTGACATAACAGAAATATGCTTTACATGTCATTTTGTTCCAGGGAGCAGACAGAGGAGTGGATAAAATTACCACTTCATCATCGGGGCCAAAAATACTGCTGCAGTCGGATGGAGCGAAGAGTTGAGGCAGAATTCCATCTACATGTTGCATTTCTATGTAAAAGTCACACAAGTTAAAAGAAGTCCTGTTCAAACACCAACGTACAAATATATAATAATTTGATCGCATCAAATGATGCCCAGATGCCACTTTTTGTAAATCTCATATTTGTGATAGAAGTGATCCTTGTGTGGGACAACTTAAAAAAAAAAATACAAAGTATGTTCAGGTTTGGATAATGTAATGGGACACACACACACACACACACACTATATATATATGTATGTGTGTGTGTGTGTGTGTGTGTAGGGAAATTACATCTTACATTTATTATATTCATGTTAATTTTGAGTAAGCAAGAAGCCTCCCAGATCTCCAGATGCATTTGAGATATCAAAAAAGTACTCCAGAGTGTTGTTCAGCATGGGGGTGAGTAGAAAATGAAGGCTAATCATGTTTTGGGTGTACTATTCCTTTAAATTAGTCTTTCGGAGGTCTTAATTTTTAAAACATCATAAATAGGATTATTTTTATTACGATTTATTTTTGTAATCTAAATAAAACGTTAAAATTGACAATTTGTTTTATTATAAAAAAAATAAATAACGGCTCGCCATTATTGGTTCCGTCCCGATAGCGGAACCAATAAAAGTGTTGTTGCGGCCGGGACATTTGGGAGATGCACCATTAACTTTTTGTCTGGAAAATATGAGCAAGTATAAATGTAACCAAAATTGTCTCCAGCCAAGAGTTTTCTCCGTGGCTAAAACCAGGGAACATACATGAAGCTCATTGGATTTTGTGCAAAAAGTCATTTAAGCTTGAAATGATGGGAATTAAGGCAGTGGAGTCGCACAAGCGAAGCGCAAAACACAAAGCGTCAAAATCAAGTTACCGAGAAACAGCCGGTATTTCTCAGTTTACAGGTGCTGGTCATAAAATTAGAATATCATGAAAAAGTAGATTGATTTCAGTAATTCCATTTAAAAAGTGAAACTTGTATATTATATTCATACATTACATACAAACTCATATATTTCAGATGTTTATTTTGTTTAATTTTGATGATTACAAATGACAACAAATGAAAATCTCAAATTCATCATATCAGAAAATTAGAATATTGTGAAAAGGTTCAAAATTGATGGCCCCTGGTGCCACACTCTAATCAGCTAATTAACTCAAACCACCGGCAAAAGCCTTTAAATGGTCTTTCAGTCTACTTCTATAGGCTACACAATCATGGGGAAGACTGCTGACTTGACAGTTGTCCAAAAGACGACCATCGACACCTTGCACAAGGAGGGCAAGACACAAAAGGTCATCGCTAAAGAGGCTGGCTGTTCACAGAGCTCAGTGTCCAAGCACATTAATAGAGAGGCGAAGGGAAGGAAAAGATGTGGTCGAAAAAAGTGTACAAGCAAGAGAGATAACCGCACCCTGGAGAGGATTGTGAAACAAAACCCATTCAAAAATGTGGGGGAGATTCACAAAGAGTGGACTGCAGCTGGAGTGAGTGCTTCAAGAACCACCACACACAGACGTATGAAAGACATGGGTTTCTGCTGTCGCATTCCTTGTGTCAAGCCACTCTTGAACCACAGACAGCGTCAGAAGCGTCTTGCCTGGGCTAAAGAGAAACAGGACTGGACTGCTGGTGAGTGGTCCAAAGTCATGTTCTCTGATGAAAGTAAATTTTGCATTTCCTTTGGAAATCAAGGTCCCAGAGTCTGGAGGGAAAGAAGAGAGGCACTTCATCCACGTTGCTTGAAGTCCAGTGTAAAGTTTCCACAGTCAGTGATGGTTTGGGGTGCCATGTCATCTGCTGGTGTTGGTCCATTGTGTTGTCTGAGGTCCAGGGTCAACGCAGCCACATACCAGGAAGTTTTAGAGCACTTCATGCTTCCTGCAGCTGACCAACTTTTTGGAGATGCAGATTTCATTTTCCAACAGGACTTGGCACCTGCACACAGTGCCAAAGCTACCAGTACCTGGTTGAAGGACCATGGTATCCCTGTTCTTAATTGGCCAGCAAACTCTCCTGACCTTAACCCCATAGAAAATCTATGGGGTATTGTGAAGAAGAAGATGCAATACACCAGACCCAACAATTCAGAAGAGCTAAAAGCCACTATTAGAGCAACCTTGGCTATCATAACACCTGAGCAGTGCCACAGACTGATCGACTCCATGCCACGCCGCATTGCTGCAGTAATACAGGCCAAAGGAGGCCCAACTAAATACTGAGTGCTGTACATGCTCATACTTTTCATGTTCATACTTTTCAGTTGGCCAACATTTCTATAAATCCTTTGTTTTTATTGGTCTTCAGTAATATTCTAATTTTCTGATATGATGAATTTGAGATTTTCATTTGTTGTCATTTGTAATCATCAAAATTAAACAAAATAAACATCTGAAATATATGAGTTTGTATGTAATGTATGAATATAATATACAAGTTTCACTTTTTAAATGGAATTACTGAAATCAATCTACTTTTTCA